CAGACTTATAAACTGCGTGGAAGGACCTTTGGTGCAACGAATTCGCGATGCGGCTGCTCGGCGGCGCGCTACGTCATCTTTACGTCACCGCCCTTGGCAAGGTGTGGGACTTCGGTCATAATCGTCGACCAAATGGGCCGCCTTAACCAAAGACGGTCGGAAAAATTTTTTTGAGCGATTCTTCGTCTATAGGGGTTATTGATGGTCCTGAACACGATTCTGACACTTATTTCTGGCGCTGACGCAATCTGACGGCAGGATAGCGCGAAACGTCCCTTGTATATGGATTTCCATAGTGAATTCCGTAGGAGAGTGATGTGGATGCAAATCGGAGTCAAATGGCACCACAGCTAAAATTAAGTACCAAATTGATAATCTCATCACTTACTTACACGTAAAAATCAGTTTTCGGCAGCAGCCTTGCCTAATTGTAGGAGAAATTGTAATGTTTATAATACCGACTCGCGGATCCTACAGGTAAGAATTTGCCCATAAATGGCAAATATCCATGTTATCCTCATGCAGAGACATTTATGGAGGCGAGGGTAGCGAAATAAAAAATGCAAAAAAACTGCACGCCGGGGGAATTCGAAACCATTCAAGGCCGCCACCCTTTGACCATCCGATGAGAATCTCCACGGCCTATCCACTAGCCATCCTCCACATCGTTGTAGCTGAACACCGCTCGATCATTGAAGAAACCATCCCGACAAGCCGCCCAGAGGCGTTCGCTGTCAATCACGTGCCGCAAATAAGACCCCATTTGCGACTACTTTCCTCCTCGATACCTATAGTGCCTTTATAAGGACCCACTACTCAGCCACTGGTCAAAGTTGGAAGTGATTTGGAGCCCATAGAAGCTCAAAACCAACCCGTTTCCATACATTTCTTCTTCACTCCTTTTTTGGTATTCAAAGAGCCATTTAGGAAAAATGAACGTCAGTTTGGTAGTCCATGAACGTGCCCCTACACAATGCAAAAAACCGTTTTCAAAAAGCGCGCCACGTCTCTGAACGACCTCCCTGGTAAGTGATGGCCCAATTCGAAAAACTCCATTGTCGTACCTTTTTCTTCTTGTCTTCTGTTTCATAATGTTCCGAACACATGTGCAGCAGTTTCTGTATTTTCAATACGTTACCGGTTCCCGCATATGCGCACACATCAACCAAAGGTGGAAACCTCAAATTATAAAAAAAATTAAAATTAAATTAAAATTATAGAAAAAGTTCAGAAAAAATCTCCATTTTGAGCGGTATGCGACAAGACAATAATATGCCGCGCTGGTAGCCGGGGCGAGCGAAATGCGGGCTCTCTCACGATTGCCGCCCCAATCGGCAAAACCATGCACATTGGGAAATCACCGCGCAACGCAGCATGACACGTCGCGCGCGACGACGCGGCAGGTCAATTGTCTTGTCCCCTCTTATGAACACAACACATAAGAACGAATGGTGATGCAACACTGACCATGGGACCAAATGGTTCGGGTAACGACCTCAAAGACTCCACAAACACTTCGCTCTTTTCTTGTGTTCCTGAAAAAAAAAAAATAAAGAGCTCACAAGAGGAATGACTTCGGCTTAATCCCTCGAGAAGCTCCTCAAGGAACGAAACAACCTTGAACTGAAACTTAAATAACGTAGACTTACCTAGGAATATCAATGCAATCCCGAGAGCCAAAAAGCGATGTTCGCGGTCGCTGCGTCAGTCTCTTTCCGCCAATCAGGCGTTTTGAAGCATTTCCATTGCTACGGTATGATCTGCTGTTCCAACCATGATAAGACCAAGCGCTAAGCCGGTCAAGCCCTTCACTTCACTGGTTGCTGATGGCTTTGAATCCGTGAGAACCTTGAAATAAAGAATGGCAATATCAAGTACCAAGAGAAGCAATAAGATAGATTACCTTTTTCAGCTCGAAAATCACTCCACCCTCCTCGTTCTTGATTACCGTTTCACGTTTGGAGTTAGCGTACGCTAGTCCTAACCCGAGTACGGAACCGACACGAATAACAGCCCTATAAGGTGTAAGGTAAGAGGAAGGAGTAACAGAAACATCAAGAATTAAAGGCACGTTCCGTGTTCATTTGATGTTAAGATGATTTCTATGAGCATGGCGGTCCTGTCCGCAGGCAATGAAGATGTACTACCTTCGAAGCCCAGGTGCGCCACGTTCCTGCCCACCAGCCGTGGCAATGCCCTTCTGAAGGTATCTTGGAAATGCACTTGTTTCACGACTGCTTTCTCGATTTCAAGGGGTGAAAGTGAGGTGACAAGGAGAAAAAGCAGTTCCCAACAAGCGTGAGCTCGTCCGACCACACCCATTCTTTGCCTCAGGCATCTATAAGCGCGGTTCGGCATGGGGCCCAATAAAGAGCATTTGAACGTGTTTTCTCCTTTTTTTCTTCTTTTCTAGGTAGTTTACCATCTTGTCGGTGGTATTCCACCCATTAGCACTTCACACCATTTCTGAGGGCGGGGCGTGCCTTTTAGTACAAATTATTAGTAGTCTGCTAGAAAAAAAACCTTTCAGAATGAATATGATCGATCAGGAGAGCAGAAGCAGGGTCACAAGCGTCTTGGATGCCAGACGAAATAATTCCAATTGCAAGTAATGTACCGGCCTAAATTCATAAAATAATACTAAAGTAACAAACTCTCCAACGTTGTGCCGTAGTTCTAACTCTACCTTGATGAAGTCGTCGTTTACATACAAGAACTTATCGCATTGACCAAGTCCGGAATCAATATCCCAACGCCAAACAAGACCCTGAGAAGCGGCCGCAGATAACATACCTGGGGAAAATGCGATAAAACGACATAACTAGGGTGAAAGCGTAAAAAGGACTACACTTACCGTACTCTTTGTTTTGTAAAACCACTTGCTAGCGTCTTCGCTCTCGGCCATCATCTTATCTACTCCAAAACCACAGTTCACGAAACCGTTGAACGAACGCTGCGGCTAGATTCATTCGTGCAGAATCAGGAGCTGCAGTATTTCCAAACGGTCCTGGAATACACAATGCTTACTGATCCGTCTACAAAATAAAAAGAAATCATAGTTATGAATTTGATGAGAAAGGATCTTCAATCCCTTAAGAATTGAGGATTAGGCTCGATACGATTTGAGTGCCTCCCCCCCCCTCCTCGGCAAATATGAACTCAACAGATTACAAAACACGGTAACTATTACTCACTGCTGTGTTCCAAATGGCTTTTGTAGATGCCCTCTGGCGTCTTTGGCTCCATTATATCCAATTCTCGGGCAAGAGAATGGAAGTATTCGTATAAGTGGGCGTTCGAATTCAATTCTCCGAGTTGTTCTCCGTTAGGGTATATTCTCGAAATCGAGGAAGATCTGATGACGACCAAGTAAAATTGCCATTTGCTTCTGTAGAAGCCTGAAATAGTTATGTTCATCAATAACAGAAAGAGGCGATCATTGGGCAACTCTTATCGGAGGACCACACTGTGAATTGATGCTCCTTCTAGCGTCTCAGGATACTTGTCAACTTTGTCAACGCGGCGCAGCTTCCCCCTCTCTTTCATTTTTCCTTACACCTTCCTTCTTTTCCTTCCTTCATTCTCGCTTCCCTTTTCTTCTCCCTTCCACTGCTGGGTCAGCAGACGCGATGAGAAGATTTCTCTAGACCCTTGCAGCGAGAGTATGTTCGGTTCACAATTACCAGCGCACATGACTAGTGTCTCCTAAACTCTAACCGGCACATCCCGAAAACACTAGCGGGCCGCACACTGATTGATATCCGTCTAATGGCGCTGTTCCCATCTACTGGCACTAGATGCGCAGTTGCAAAAAGGTACGCAAAGAATAAAACAAAAACAAGTTGGGCCGCTGTTTTCATAACAACAATGCCTCATTCGGCAATGCCGAAGAAATGAAACACTCACTAGATCATCAAGTCACTCACAGATCATCAGTTTTCGTGAAGATTTCTTTAATCTCAGCGGGATCATTCAGCATGATGGCACATCGTACTGCTTCGAGGTAGCGTTTATACTTCAAGTAAATATCTTTTGCAGTTCTGATGAGGTTAAAATTGTCTGGATCAGGCGTCAGTGGAGCACAACTAAACAGTTTGAATGAGGTTGGTACGCCAAACATGTTTCCTCAAAAGTAAAAGACACTGCTACGCTACAGTACCAGTGAAAACTAGTGACAAAGAAAAGAAGCGATACCTGAGCAAGTATAGGCAGACCCTCTGATGATCAACATCTACCACGTATTCCATGAAGAAGGTCTAGTCGTTCAATTTCAATCAACAAATCACATGCTTCCACCTGAAAAAAAAACAATCTCTTTGTCGCTGATGTGGACTCCGTCTCACGAAGACGGAGGGGCGTGACTACAGCTTCACTCGAACATGGCGTACTATGAGTTCCTTGTAAGACTGCCCCATTTGCAACACTTTCCATCCCTGTCTTGTGATTGACAATTACAAGATTACAATCATCCCAAAACGAAAATATAGCCATCAGAGGTGTACGTTTTAATGAAGTTATGAAGACACGCCCTCCCCATCCCCGGGATATGGATTGTAGTACCGGTGCGCGTTTCAACACTTCCAATGTTTGAAAGTGACTTGTTATTGACGTAAAAGTGAAGCATTATTGACGTCATATAACACGTCAATCGTGTATCTTGCGACGTCATTTACAGTAGTACAAACAGGTTTCCTCGTCATTAACGTGAGACATGATGTCAACAACACGTCATCTCTTAACAGGTGACAAAGCGGGTGCTAAGCCATTGGCCCTTTGCTAACGAACAAATTTCAAACATCCTGACCTCAGCATTATGCTTCATATTGTGCATGACAATGTCCCGCGCCAGAACAAGTAGTTCATTCCGCCTAGAATTAAAAAATATTTTATTCGCCTCCAGTGTCACCTTTGACTTATCCTTACCTAGCCTTGCTCTTTTCAGAACCATCGGATGCCTGCTTCCATTCTTCTGACATTTCCATAGCTAGGTGGCGAACGTATTCATGTCCCCAGTCGCCTATCGGTTCATGCATACCCTGAGAAATTAGATGCAAAAAATGAAAAAAATATTTCCAGAATTAGGGCGTAGTTCGGCTCTGTGGAAGGGGAACTA